GGGGGGGGGGGCTATATGCTATAGGGCAGTGAGATTCTTTTAATGTTGTGCTGTCCCCCCTTGGCATATTTGAGCCAAGGTTTGACAAATTATCAGCATGCATACAGCTGCAAAGATCACATTAATTGTGCAAATGCATGCCAAATGCAAACTTTTACCTTTCAATAAAAAGCTGTTTGTATAATTAAAATTTCTGTTGTTATGTTTTTCTTTTAAGAATGTATGAGTTGTTTTTTCTAAACTAAAACCTCAGTATTCAGGTTTTATTGCAGTGTTGGCACTTTGCGATAAATTAGTGGGTTTTGGGTTGCAGTTTGGGCACTTGGTCTCTAAAAGGTTAGCCATCACTGCTATAGGGGATTCTCCAGCTTTTGATGGCACAAAAGTGGGCTATGTAAGGGACAGGAACTCTCATGGCATAGCAAGATGTTACTACATTTGTATACTTATCTTTCCTCCTCTTCCTCTGTGTGTTTCAGGAGTGTTAGCTGTTCTGAACTCTCAGGATAGGACATGATATAAATAAACTAAGATGCCAGGATCAATCTCAAATAATTGGCTCAGATAGCATTCAGATTGTTGTCCTCCCCCACGCCGCACGCGCACACACACACACACACACACACAAGAAATGCAGCAAGAACAGAGTTGTTGCCACAGGCAAATTTTCACCTGCTTTGAAACATGCAGCCAATTAGTAGGGAGGTCTTGTCTCTTCCCATCACCCTATCACACACCACTGACAGTGTGATTCCCCCTAGAAATGCTGGTTTGGGGGAAAAGGCGTTTGTAAAGCTGGGGGAAAGGTAAATGTAGATCTAACTGCTGCCTTCAGAGCAAGGGCTGTTGATGCTGGGAGCACTCCCAAAATAAGGCTTACCTGGGAATGTATTTATTCTTGGACACTGACCTAGAAGTGGTGAGGGAATGTTCAGCATTTTTCAGAGGGTGGAAGGTATCATGCAACTATCAGGCTTGGCTGGCTGAAGCATGGCTCTCCCAGACAATGTTGAAAAGACAGCAACAACCAACTTGGAATGGAAATAGTACCTATATTAGAAATCCTTCACCATGGACATGAGCAGCTAACACATTTTCTGAAACCACCAAGTTTCTGACATCTTGGTCACTGAAGAAAAGGCCAAAAATGGTTTCCAATTCAGAAACTAGATCTGAGCTTAGGAGAGACTTGTAGAGGCCTGGGATGGAGGGGAATAGGCCCCAGTCATTGCCACTGGAGTCCTATGGGGGATAAACAAACAAAACAAGCAATCTAATCTAGCTCATTTTGTTTTCATGCATTCCTTCTCAGGAGCCACTCCTTACTTCATCTGTAGCTTGCACCAATTAAAAAAAACCAATCTCATTTGTCACTTACAGCTTCCATGTTTCCGATGGACATTCTAGCCCTCAGTGTTAGTGCATCCATTGTATAAGACCTACACTGCATGCCAGGGCCCTTACAGAGGGGATGGGAGGACAGCAGGTACAACCTTGTTTTCAAACTTCAAGTCAAAACGCAGCTCCTTACCATGTACCTGTCACCTCCAAAATCATAGCTGCTCAGAAGGGAGTCCCAGTGTTAAATGATTTCTCCCCCAGTCCATGACAGCCCCTCCCCATTCCCAGTATGGCCAAAGAAACAAAATTACAAACATGTTTGCAGGTTACATTTGATATTTTTTTAGTTTTGCTCTGCTGAAGACAGGCATATTGCAGAAGAAGCAGGATGAGATAGAATTATAAAGCATGCAAAGAAGCCTCAGCCATTTAATCAGAGAACTGATATCATACGAAACCAACCCTGATGGGCTAGAGAAGACTAAGAGCCAGGTATTTCTGCCCCAGGTCAGTATGAGGGATACGCTGAAGCTGTAACAGGAGGCCCCAGTTTTCTAAAAGACGACACAGCAGAGTACAACAGCATACCCTTCTTCAACTTGGTGCCCTCCAGATGTTTCAGAAAATAATCCCCTTCATTATCCACCTAACATGGCAGCACCTCTGGCAGCAACCTTTTCTCATTTTGTTCTGTGTTGCAACAAGTTCCTCCTAGTAATTGCTTTTCCTAACTGCAGCCTCCTTTCATTCAGTATAATCAGATTCTTGTGTTGTATGGAGAAGCAGTGAGCAACTCAGGTGAACTTATTTATTTATTTAAAATGTTTATATGTCGTCATCACATGCCTCGGGATCTACTTATACAGTCATACTAGGTCTGTAGGATGAGCAAACAGCCCAGCATGGCTTATTTAGGTCACAGTAGGCTGCAGTGCCTGCCAGCAGCCATTTCAAATAGTAGAGCTGCAACTAGTCATCCAAACCTGGCAGGGGTGAGTTGTGTGAGGCTTAAACCACCCTTGCAGAACCATAAAAAGGGTGCTAAATAAGCCACAAGGAGCAGCAGTGGCCATGTGAATTTGTTCATTGTATGTGGAAGCAAATCTGCATGCACATGGCCCACACTCCATAGAAAAATCGACCCTGTTATAATTCTCACATGCTCTGGAAATGGTCACAACTGTCACTTTCCACAGAGGAACAGTCAGGGAAAGTAAGAGCTAAGTAAGATCCAGGCTTGCACCTTGGCATGACTATGGTTAGAGTCCAGGGAAAGGCAAGTAGAATTTGCTTTTTACCAATTTGGGAAACAGCAGACTTCACCTAGAGTTGGAATGCCAAAGGACTGCATGCCATCACTTATTCAGTCAGACTGCAGGGCAGTAGGTGTGATTTAGTGGCAAAGAATAATAAACTCACAAGTAGTGGCAAGCAAAGTACTGGTGGAATCCACTGGTGCTGTGATTGGTTAAGCTGATGCAAGCATGGAGAAAACTATACAAAAGTCAAAGATTCCATGAACTTCTCCTAAGCACAGCAGTCCTCCCAACTAAGGGAGACAACATTGTTCATGCTCAGTACCTTGTGAAGACTGACTTCAAACTGAAGCTCTGTCTGGGCAAGGCACAGCCATGCATCACAGCATCAGATAGCACTTGCTCACTGGGAACAAGAGGGCAAGTATGGGCAGTATACTGAAGACAGAGGACACTCAGGCACCAGACATGTGCATTGCATGCAGCAGGCTGGGTTTTAATCTGGAGTCACAAATTCTGCTTCTTGCCAGGTGGGAGGAAGCTGCTTTGACAGTCTCCTGTCAGTCAAATCTACCTACATCTCCCAAAGATCTTAGACCTACTGCAACCAGAGGATTTAGGGCCTTTGATTATTTCCCTCTAATTGCCTCCATCTCTTTGCTAAACCCTTTCCTCAGATCTCCTCAATGCAGGATCCCTGCTTCACCAGAAAAATTACCAAAAAAAGGCAACAATGGTGGCATGAAAAAATACTGATGCAAAGCAGACCATCAGAAGCACACAGAAAAGGTACTGGATTGCAAAAAATGTCCACAATACCAAAATATTTCAGGCTATACAGGCTTTCTTCAGGGGAGCATTGTGAAATAAAATAAAACCCTCATTAAATTATAGTGGAGACCAGCCATGAAAGCATATCTAGAAACCTATGTGTAATATAAATACTCAAATATATTGATGTGAACCCTGCTCCATGAAGTGCCAAAAGCATTGATGTTGTAAAACACACAATAACATAGGATGTCTAAATTGTTAATAAATAGCAATATTCCAGACTGAGAAAACATAAGGGTAACACTACTTCACTATAGTTGGCACTCTCTGTCCAAATTATCACCCCAGTACCCATCTAGATAGTGTGCACAGCTAATCTTCTGTAATGGTTTCATAGAGCCTTGATTACCACAACCACTCTGCCAGGATATTCTCATTGGAAAACACTCTTGTGGCTTAGCAAATTTTCTGCATACCTTTAATAATCTGCTTAGTTTGACCATTAAGGGGCTGTATGCACGTGCTCAGGCATGTCACCTAAGCCTGCTATAAGGATTCCTCCTTTGCAAGATCAAGAAGTAAAATTTTGGTAGTCATTATCTCTCTCTTCTTCCTCTTGGCCACTCGTCTTCCAACACATGCATGCCCTACTGGAAGGGGAGGTATACTGCAAACTCACGAGATATGCCAGGGAACTAGAAGTCACTGTGTATACAAGCAAATTTGCAATGCCTGGGGTGAAGTATCACACTCTAGTACAGAAAATAAAAAGGAAGAATGGAACTTTTTTGGCTTGAAACCAGAGTACCTAAAGGCTGCCTTCTCCCATAAAAACCAGTGTGGAGAGAGGCCTTTCTTTTAAGACCACCATCTTCATAGATCTAGTTGTTGGCAATGCAAAAGAAGGCCTTCTGTGTGGCCATTCCTTGGCCATGGAATTCCCTGCCAAGAGAGGCTAGGTTTGCTCCCTCTCTGCTGACCTTTCACTGGCAGACAAAGGCCCCAGGGTAAGGCCTGCCTGGCATCATATGGGTCTTCAGTGTGTTAGAGGGTTTCTTGGGCTGTATATAGTTTTTCATTGAATAGTAGGGTTTTTACTGTTTTAATGTGATGCTTTAAATGTGCTTTAATGTATTTATTACTGTTTTTATCAATACTGTAAGTCACGTGGAGTGCCATTTTTGGTGGAAAAGTGGGGCACAAATCAAATAGAACTAAATCAAATCGACAAACTCCATCCAAGTCCCATTAAAGCTTGTACCCTGACAACTTATGTTTAGGAATTACAAGTACTGAAAGTGGATTCTCACATCCCTCTGCATAATGCACTTGTTCCTTCTAAGACAGAGGGCTATTGGGAGACAAAACATTAGGCCAAATCGGATACCAGTGATCAGAAGGGCATTGAGAACAGGTAAGATAAGGGGCAGAGCTCTTTATGCTGATCCAAAGTAGAGTAAAGATTGGGAGAGCCAATGGTAGAAAGTTTAGAAGCACAGAGTTACTGGGCTAGTGAGGATGCTGGCCTATTTGCCCCAAAATATTTGAACCAAGAATAACTGGGGAAGGGACAGAAAGCTGGCAAAGGAAAGCATAATTAGGAATGGACTTTTATAAGAAGTACATTACCCATGGTCAGGCAGATAGTGCAGAAAGGTGGAGCCCAATACAATGGCAACTGATATGCCAAAGAAGAAAGCCAGACGCATATTCCACAGATCAATAACAGGGTCTGAGTCAAAGCCATGGTAATCAGGATTCTGGAAGAGAAAAAAGTGGATCAGAATTAGCCATAGGGATGGAAGAAGAAGATTCTGTAAGGCCTCTGACTCTTCCTAGGCAGGTTCATATATAACCTTATTCCAAAATTGCGCCAAATGTTTGGGTCAATCTGAGAAGTGGCCACTATTCTCTGCCAGGACAGCTAAGGCAATGTACATACACGCTTAAAATAGATCCTGTTTTTATTTGGGATCAGAAATCATTGTGACAAAGTCAGGCATCTCCAAACCTTATGCAATGCTTGTCCATACACATCAGGGGTCAGCAACTGTGGAAAATACAGGGGCATCTTTGCCTCTGCCATCCCTTCCATGCACCACAGTCTACAGGGTGCCCTATAAAAGAAGGGAAAGAGAAAAAAGCTAGGTTGCCACCAAAATTCACTGGAAAACACCTCCATAGCACTACAAAGGGTTAAAAACAGTTTGTTTCCAAGCTAAATTCAGCCTTTCTGGCACTCTGGTAGTGGCCATGAAGTATGGAAAGAGTCATTTTTAATAGGTTAATTTGACCCTCTTGGTTGTTCACACTTGCTATGCATGTTTCATAATTTAAAAATGGAGGGCAGCAGGAGGCATGGGGTACATGCAGCCTGCAAGTGGCCTACTTTGGTATACAGCATCTCTATTGTATTCAGCCCCACATTTCTGTCCACCCCACAGCACAGAAACTTCAGAAGGCAGCAGCCATCTTGCCTTGTACACTCCTTTATCCAAAAAAGAAAAAAAAATACTGATGAGAGAAAGGCCAAACCTGATACTTAGACAACAGGGTAAGAAATCAAGGAGAAGGCCATGGAGTTATGTTAGGAGATTCCTAACATAACTTCCCCACCTTTCTGCACTCTGTTGAGTTCATCCATCACTAGGAGTGAGAGATATACCTCTGCTCCCAAGAATCTTATAGATCTATACACCAGTTCCAAAACCCACAGAGGCAGCAATAGAGGTGCTACAATAAAATTGATCAAAAAAGGTTTAGCATTAGAGGGAGCTCTGTGTTTTGTATACAGCTTAGGCTCCAGTGAGTCCCGTGCTACCTATTTTTTCCTCAGTTTTCAAATGAGTCCCAAGCCATTCTGCTACTTCTGAAAGAATTGAGAGAAAATGAAAAGAAACTATCAACACTGCCATAAACTTAAGCTGCACAAGAGAGGTGAAAATTACATTAACATGTAAAACATACTTGTTGAGACTGATAGCAGAGAGGGGGAGGTTAAGCATGAAATTCAACAGCTCTACAGAACAGGTTTTGTACTTGTGCATGCAAGGTAGATTCTCTCACCAAAACATTCCAGAGCAAGAATCTTTGTTCCTAAGTTGCTTATTATGTGGCTGTTTCTGAACTTCCAAACAGCAGGGCGCCGTTCTCAGTTCCTCAGACATGAATGCAGCTTTCCCTCCTCAACCCTCAGTCTCCGTTTGTATCGTCTCTGCCTTTCAAGCTTTTGTAAGGGTCAGGCCTGCCTGGCATCATTAACCCAAGTGGAGCACAGAAGACCCTTTTAGATGACACGCACGCCCCCAGCTGTGTTTTCAGTAACAAAGCAAGGGGATGCCAAGACTGCTTGGAGAGAAGAGGTAGACACAATACTAAAGTCAGACACAAACTGAAGCAGGTGACACAATGCCTCATTCAAACAACATGGCCAAGAGCACACAGTCCCTTAGTCTTGCCAGATTTGGAAAAGACCGGCAAGATGGGGAGGTACAGTTGCTCCTGCCTTTCTAGAAGACGGAGACACAGGCACAGGTTCCAGGAGTCAGATATGTGGAAGATGACTGCAGTAGCACAGTGGAAGAGAGGATGGTATGATCAGAGCAGCTCTTAGCCAGTCAAATTGCACATACTATACAAACTAGGTTTAACAGGGTGAAAATATTAAAAATTCTTACACATTATTAAAACAGGTTAGGAATGGGTGAGGATGGGGAGGGAAATGAATTGAAAATTAATTGAATTTTCTGGTACTGGAACAACTAAAAGACTTTGAAAACAGGTTCTGGGGCTGTTGCTTATTAAGTCCCAAATATGATTACAGGAAGCTCAGACATTTTAGCTGGACTTTTATGTTGCTTTGTTCATCCCAGTTCTTTCTTCCAGTGCAATGCATAGGGAAAAACCAATTTATTTATTTATACAGCATTTTAAAAACATGTATGTATGTAGCACTTCAAACATATCTTGATTACTCTATTAGGTACATTGCCAAAGTGAGATGTTGGACAAATTTGGCATAATATGAGAAAGGGGGTTTGGATCCAGAAACCACATATCACTCCCATTTTAGAAGAAGCTGTGCATCATCTTTGGTGGAATGGAAAGGCTTATATTTGTATTTATTATAAACTGCTGCTGCTTCTTAGGGTTTAATTTTACTTGCCACCCGATCTGGCAAGAATAACTGGATTGAGATAACATCCTTTTCTAGCAGATATGCATAAGGACTTGTCCCTTCAGTTTTCTGTGCACTGAAATGTCAGCTCCCCTGACTCCCAACATCCCAAAGGAAAAGAAAAAAAAAGGTGGGAGGGGGGAAGAAAAGGGGGAAAAAAGCTCACACATAAGGAAATTTCTGGGAACTAACAAAAACAGTAGAAATGAGATCTTACTAGGCTGTTGCTTGGATACTCCTTTTGCCCAGTTTCATGCAGGGCGCTGCAAAGGACGAATCCAAGAGCTTGGGTGAGAGCAGCCTTTTTTTGAATGAACAAATTCTCCAGCAGCAGCCCAGATTGCCCATACTTTCCTCCCTCCCTCCCTCCCTCCCTCCCTCCCACACACACACACAAAAACACAGACTCTCTCTCTAATGGGCACATGTACAAGCAAGCTGACCCTAGAAGTGGTGGTGGTGAGGAGATGCCCAGTTGGTTGGGGAGAGGACTAGTTTGGGCATCTGAAGGGGCTCCTAAGCTAGAGCCTTCCTGCTTCATACCATCATGTTATTCCCTGCCCCCCCCCCACCCGCTGCTCTCACACAGCAGGGGCTCCTTATTCCTTCGCCTACTTGTTGGATGAGACTGAGTCACAGCAGGCTTATGACTCCCCCCACTTTCATCTCCAGGGAGCTATATTTGCAATGGACCTCTGGTCTCCTTTAGTAGCAGAGCTGGGACAATTCATTTTCTAAGAAACTGACATGGCAGCTACATCAGGAGGAAAGAATGGTGAGGGCCACTTATCTGGTGTGATAAGGAAGGAAGAGAGGCATCACAATCTCTTTTGGATGTGCAACCCTTCCAAATATAGCTTAACATGGTCTATTACTGATCCAATGGTAGAGGGGCACAATCCGAAGACGTGCCCTCTCTCCTCCATTACATGGTTTGACAAACAGCAAGACTGTAGCTCCACTCCTCATTTGGGAATGGACTTAACAGCCATCACCTCTCAAATCCCAAGCTTCTCTTCCTGCCCCAGTATCCCCCACCAACACCACCACTGTGAAGGTGACTAAAGGCTGGACTGGGTGATGAGAACATGAGGAAAAAGCAGACTAGCCTGTAAGTCCTTAAAGAGACAGTATGAGATCAATGCTACTTTTCTAGAGAAAAGAATTAAAAGCCACTATAGGTCCATGCTTCCTCCTGGGAGTGCAGATGCCAACCTTCACACACAGTTTCTTTGCTACACCATAAAGCCCCTGCCTCTTCCTGCCCCTCTTAGATAAGGCAGGCTGACAGCCTATGAAACTCAATGCCTTCACTGCTAATATAACTGGTTATTGTCTTTTTGGTTGGAGATCAAGCTATCAAAAAGAAACACCCACTGAATCGCCAACCTGGGAATCTGGTTGCAGTAAACCAAGTGGTAAAGGAACAACATAATGCACATGCTTAGATGCACCTGTGGCATCACGTATTTCAGTCACCACTAACCCAATATTAAAATGGTTGTGGATTTATTGAAACACAGGCTTTGAGAGGAGAGAGAAGTTGACAAACTGCTGAGGTGTTGGGATGTAGCCTTGTGAAAAACAGGTACACCAAACCAACCAGGGGCAGGGGGTTATTTCAAATGGCTTCTCTCAGCCACCCCAGTAGTTTTTTCTTGAGCTTCTATTCTCTTCCATCAACTCACTATGACCTGTGGCATAGGAAGTCACCTTGCTGTGGAGCTTTTCTCAGACAAGGCAGCAGTTTCAGGTCACTATGATTTATTAAAGAGCAGCAGCAGCTTTGCTGCTGCTTAAATATTTAAAGAGTTTTTGTACCAGGAGAACAAGTATAGGCATGCACATGGGCAGATGGACAGAATAACCACTGCTGCAGAAAACATGGCTTATCCAAGACTAAGGTTGATAAATAGGTGGGAAGGGAGTGATCAGCACATCACACCCTCCTACAGCCACAGTGCTTCCACTAGACACTTCAGGATCCCAGCATAGGCACCCAAAGCCTCCTGCCTCCCACAGAAGAGCTCTTTTGGCTCAATTACACAACAGCCCTCTCTTGTATACCATAGAGGCCACTTACACCCCTGCCCTTTCCATTTCTCAAGTCAGGCCTCCATGGTGGCTTGTGACCCATTAAATAGGATGTGACAGCAGCCTGCCCACTATTTACAGGAGCTGAGTCAGCTCCTTTTACTGTTTGACTGCATAAAGAGGAGGGAGTTACCAGGTACCCAGTTCCCAGGCACACAAAATTCATGCCTGGTGGGTTCATTTGGCTAGGAATTGAAGTAGCACCAGCTAGGGATTGGCTATTCAGAAGGGACCTTCTGATTATTGCATGTGAAATCTCTCTCTCACCCACCCATACCTATCCCTCAGGGTTGCTGCAAAGAGAAAGTGATACAACCCCATACATACTGCCCAGGAGGACATAAGATAAACAAGCAATTATAGAGGCCAGGTCCTAGGGCAGGCAGTTTGGCTTAGGCAGAGATTCCTAATGGACACAAGGTTTAAAATGTTGTCTGATGTTACATGGTACGTTGATATGTATTTTCAAAAGTTGCAAACAATCCACAA